GTAAAACCATCTGGGCCTTTGAGATTGATCACTAACATCACCCAATACCTCCCAGCAATCATGCTAGTGGTCAACATCCCACGGTCCCCTAATATCACCCAATTCGTCCCATTGTTTCTCCCTCTCTCTATAATCATTTGGCCCATACACATTTGTTAAAACCCACTCAAGTCCATCCTCCACTTGCTTAAACTTTATTTAAATTGTAAATTGTCCTATCAATTCCTGCAATCCTTTGAGGACATCATCCTTCCACATTGTCACCATACCCCCTACTGCCCCCAGGAAGGAGCCGCAACCCAACTGATTTCCCTACCTCTCAAGACGCTCCTTGCCCACTAGATATCAAAGTCTGCCCTCTTGATCTCCAGCAACACTACCACATCTAGATTTATCTTCTTGATTGCCTCTTTAATGACTGCTCTCTTTATAGCACTTCCCATACCCCTAACACTCTAGGTGATTATTTTCATTTTCTCTACTTATTTACCCCTAACCTCTATTGACCTTACTTGTTTCCTTTCCTTCTCTCCCCTTTAATATCAAAGCTTTTAGCTCCTTCCACATCCCTCATTAGTCTTTCAACCTCACTCAGCTTCCTCTTTTTTACCTTTGCTTCCTCTCTCTTTTTTTGTAGGAACACTTTGAGATCATTCGGACTTTTTAACCTTCACTACTTGATTCCCCTTTGTCGGGTTTCTTATTCACTCCTTCGTGCTTTTTCCCCCGAACTTCTTTATCCTCTCTAGCTTTTTTCAAAGTTTACCCCTTCCTTCTGTAAATAATTCTCTCCAATTTCATCCAATAACCTCTACAGAATTTCCCAAATTCTTTTACTTCTCTTTGCTTCCTCCAGCATCCCCTCTCAGCCTCCCCATTCTCCTTACTCTCCCTAACTTCACTACTCTCTCTTCTCTCTTCTTAAACAAAGGCTACAACCTCTAGAATGGGACCTGATTTTGGCACTACACAACCTGAAAGGACACAATTACCTGGAGTTTGTTGGTATGGAAGGGGAGTGCAAGAGATATTAGTGTGGTCTGTCGTGCCCTGTTTTGGGGAATGGGGTTCACCTATCTCCTTGGCTTGATTCTAAAGAGAGTGCCTTCTCGTCTCTTGTGTTAAACAGTGAGTCCTTTCACACAATTGTTTATCCCTCTCTATTTTTTATCCTTCTCAACTCCCTCCCTTTCCTCAAGTCGATTTCTAGTGTACCTTGGATTTGGTTGATCTTGTAAGGGATGGACGACACTAGCGGAAGTTGCTTCAGCTCGAAGAATCCATTGCAGGGATCCCTTTGAGCCTCGCTCACAACTTCGGGTCTGGGAGGTGATACGACCATTCGCATTCAACGAAGAAGAAGATAGACAAGCCCTATCGTCTATAATCAAAACCTCTTTTCCCCGAACAACGTGACCACTTGAGTTGTCATGTGGGTCAATGTCTTGAACTTTGGTTGGACTGCATTGCCTTCCAATTGAATCAGATTTGACAACTCCTCCTCTACCTTTGGTCAAGTCGCTCCCCCTTTTGGCCACATAAGCATATGAAGCCTGAGTCTCCTCTTTTTCTTTTAATTCCAAAAATTAGAATTTTTTTCTTTAATTGGCTTACTTAAATTTTGGTTTAGCTTCACCAACTTTCCATTTTCCCATTTAGAAAGGTTCAAAAGAACAGAGTTTCCCACCATCAAATGTGTGCCATGTGTAATCCAGCCACCACTCCAACATTGTCTTCAACCTTGGAGCTTCATCCCCAAAGAGTCGCTTCCACTTCTAAAATCAGCCCGACTTTGTACCAGGTCTCACCAGAAAGAACTTCAATTGATCTAGGCAAAGTTTCTAGTTTCACCCCTGGGATCCGAATCTCTGCAGCCTACAAGTCTTGTAGCTTTATTTCCTCCAGAACTCCCCCCCCCCCCACAACATCCTCACTATAAAGGCCATAGTGGACTCATTCCATAGGTGGAACGACAATCAAACCAGTTTTAGCAGGAAGCTACCAGAGAATTGCACCACCTCATTACACAACGGCTTCAAATTCCTAACTTGGACCAGCCTCTCTTCATATTCGAAAGTCATGAAGCCCCGTTTTACTTCATTACCAACGAGTAGAATCACCTTCTTGTTTGAGAATGGTTTTAAGGCTACCTCAGCTTTTAGTTCCAATTTATTCACCGCTTTATCTAACAATTTCCTCCAATCTTTGACCTCTCTATCAACTGTTATAACCAACCTCCGCTCCCACACACTCTGCTCAACCTCAACCATCATCTTCTTCGTCACATTTGAACTTACAACCGCTCCACTTTGAAGAGTTGAGGTCTATTTTTCTCTGTCCTCATCATTTGCACTACTCGTCACCTGGTTCTAAATATGCTCCAGACTGTCTTCTGAAGTTTGTTCTTGTTCTTCCTTTAAAGTCTTATATGCAAAGACAAGGAACTGTTGTAGCTTCTCTGCGAATGATATCCAACCCTGTAACAGCTTCCCTTCCGATATGCGTACCATCTGTTTCCTATCGGCAAAGTATTCTACAACTATAATAAACCATCCTTTCCCATTCCTCCTTAACTCAACTTCATATCTTTTCCTTAGCACCTCCAAAGAGTTTCTCCATCCTATTGTCTTGATGGAGTTGATTACTCCGTCAATGAACCCTTTCAACAACAACACGACTTCCTCGTGTAATAGAACCATCACCTTTCTATCCTCTCTTATTTTTAGCAAGTTTCTACCTCTGGCCCTTCCAAGTTCGAACAACAACCATCTGGAAATCTTCATCACTTTGCCCTTTCTCTCCTCTCTCCATCTTTTTGATGAAGGATGAATATATTCTGTTCCAACTCTTATGCTCTCAACAGGAATGGTGAGACGATGGAGCAGATGAGGAAGTGTCATCGTCAGGAGCTTCAGCGACTGGTATGAGAAGCTCTTGAGATCTCCCTCTGTCTCTGCTCGCCATTATAATCGATAATTTGTCATTGCCCATCAACAACACAGCAAGCATCAACAGCTCTGACAGCTCCTCTTGGGGAAATCAAGAGGAGTTGAAATCTTTTTGCTTCAATGTTCAATTCAAGTTTCCATTCTATTCACCGTCTGGAAATCTTCGTCACTTTGCCCTTTCTCTCCTTTATCCATCTTTCCGGTGAAAGATGAATATATTCCGTTCCAACTCTTATGTTCTCGACTAGAATGATGAGACGATGGAGTAAATGAGGAAGAAGGTTTTGAGGAAGCGTCATCGTTGGGAGCTCCAATGACTTGTATGAGAAGCTCTCAAGATTTCTCTGTCTCTTCTCGCCATTACAACCGATAATTTGTCATTGCCCATCAACAACACAGCAAGCAGCAACAGCTTCGACAGATCCGATGTTCAAAGTTACTCATCACTTGCAGCAAGAAAGACCAGTCCACCAAGTCATAAACCTTTTCTAGATCCAGTTTACAAAGCACTCCTCTTTTCTTTGATTTTTTTAAGGCCTCTACACTCCCATTTGCAATTAGGATTTAGTCCGAAATCTGTCTTCCCTTCACAAAGGGAGAACTTGCTTAAAGAGACAACACTTCTGCAATTATTTTGTACTGTCTATTGACCAAGCTGATTGGTCTAAAGTCTTTTGGATGTGTAGCATCTCTCTTCTTTGGTACCAAAGCAATGAAGGTGGAATTCAGCCCCGGATTAATTACCCCCTGCTATGGAACTCTTCAAACACTAATATTAGATCCTTCTCCAAGATTTCCCAACAGTCCTGATAGAATGCCATTGTGAACCTATCTGAACCCAGAGCCTTTGTTCTATCCATTGAAAACACTGCCTCCTTTATTTCCTCAACTTCTAGGAGACCACTGCAAATTCAAGTTGTATGCTGAATGGTGGTGAGATAGAACTCAGGAATGGAGCAAGGAAGTGAAAGATATGGAAGATGGTAGTGGGTTAGCTTTGGTAGGGATACAGAGTTGTGTTACCTGCAATAAACCAAGAACACATGCTCTGATACCATTTGCTATGAGCCTAGATTGCACACAACAAGATGGGATGCTTCAAGGGATCCCAGAACCTCCAAATACATAAAGAACAACATATAAAGTTGTTTTGGGTGGAAAATCCCATTACTGACTTCATTATCCAAATGGACTTAAACAGCCATTTACACCCAAACTCCACAAACCACACGACCTACAAAATAGCAAACAAATAACTGAATCTAAGATTAAACCAATAAACCTACATCCCATACACCCCTAACTTAACACAATTTGCACAATAACCAACTGATTTGTTGACCAACTAGGTGGACCCATCTACCTACCTGCGAATTGGACTCTTCTATATTTCAAGACCCATAACATTCCCTAACCCGTAAGGCCATAACACAAAGCCTGAAAGCCATATACGGGACGATGTATATAAAAGAGACATCAGAAACCAGACAAATAGAATATAAAAATATAATTTGCTCACTGAGAACCGCAACATCAAGATAAGTACCAAAAATACCATATCCCAAAATAAAACAAGGGTAATAACCACAACCAAACCCTGAAACAAGAATAGAGACTTCATAGAGGCATAAAAAATCCAGAACATCATAATGATCAAAAACAAGGGCAATAAGCACCATAATATCGTGGCATGTATACAACATGATATGAAATAAGATACACATATGTGCATATAAATGTTTTGTGGGCCAGGCCAGGCTAGAAATGATCACTCCTACTCAATACAGTCCCATGGTAGTCTAAAAACGGTGTAAAAATACAGATTATAATTGTAAGACAGCAAAGATGTAATTAATTGCTTTAGGCCCATGCAGTAAGTGCATGATATGGCACTTGTTGAAAGCAGAATAAACAGTTGATGTAGTTTGATAACAGTTAGCATTCCACCTCAAAATTATCATTAATTACCATGCTATTCACAAAGTGAAGTGCACAACTCGTAAGGCATCATACCAGTAGAGCCCAGTTGATGTAGTTTGATAACACTCATACCTCAGAACCAGAAGACTTGCCAGAAGAGCCCAATTTCCCACAAGCAAAGCATTGGTGCTTATTAAATTGACAGTTTTTACAACGAAAGTTCTGAATTGCCTGCAAGCAAAGAAATCATGCTAAAAAGATATATATACTGCTATGAACACCAAGGAAAAGGAGAGAAAGGAGCAAAACACAGAAAATAGAATGAAAGTGAAAAGTATGTGAGAAGAGCATACATCTACTTGCTCATTAGAAAAGCCGAGGGATTCACAGACTGATTCTGCACCAGCTTCTACGGTTGCATGGAATGACCTGAAGCACCTTCCTTCACAACTATATAGGAACACAATGATAGAAGGGTCATGATGAAAAGAGATTAAAAAAACAAAGTTAACAAACATTACAATAAATTTAACAATATTATTTCATAAAAAAGGCAATGAATAAAGAAATATTTCAGCTTTCTTGTCAACAAGCTCTAAATTTGTAAAAGCTCGATGGTTCCTACATTAATTTATTTTGAGTCTCACTTATTTCTATATGCCTACTTATTATACAACCTAACCTCCTTCACAGCACTATAGTAAACTGAGATGAGTTCTAATGTATAAAGAATTTACTTGGAAACATTACAAATCAATAATTTAGTGTAAGGCAATGGTGAGAAGAAAGGCGTCCTGATACTCTAAGTGAGAGTAGTAATGGAGAAGAGACCGAGTATCCTAGATCCTGTGATTATGGATTTCTAATGTCTGGACTCCTGCCCATCTTCGGGACATTTAGAAGTTTCTACCTATCTCCGAAATGTCTGGACTTTGGACATTTCTGGAACTTGATACTTTACTATTTTGTCTTTATCCGAGTGCCTTTTAGAAAACCATGACAAAAGTGTGGTTGTGAAGATATCCGTTTGTCATGTTAGTCATGTCATTTCAGTATAGTCTATTATGAAAGAAGATAGGGATGCAGTACTAAGCCAAGCACTGCTTTTGATCCCACACACAACTTTTGGGTGCATTCGGTCACTGTTGGCAGTTACCCTGCTTCGCATTTAAATCATGGACTAGAAACATTATCCAATGGTGTTCTGCATGCCTACGCTCTTAGACTTTTTGGGAGAGAAAATAACTGAAATTCAATTAGAGGAAGAAGTACCTGAGAAGATGTACAACAAAAAAAAGTTAAAAAAGAAGCCAAACGGGCTACAAAGAGAACTATTACCAAACATTACATCCAAACAAAACACCAGATTTAGCTAAACCATCTGTCTGCTACAGAATTTAAGCCCCTCAGAACCCAGGACATATTTACAAGCATTGAATCCAGAGTGTCTCTAGCCTCAGCCAAGTAATGAGTAATGATCCAGTCTCCAAGTGTGGCCAACCTTCTCACTGAGCAACTTGGTGGTATTAGCAGAGACCCATAAAATGGTTAGATTCCATAATCCCAAATCTTTAGCAATGTGAATACCAGTAAGGCAGTAAGATCAGCCAAAACCTCAGCCTTTTAGAATCTGCAACCCCAACTGGCCCACTATAAGCCCAGCAAACACTGCCAGCCTATCTCCAAATACTCCTCTAATACCAGCAAACCCTGGATTGCCTGTAGCACTGCCATTGAAGTATAAGATCAAACACCCCCAACCCTCTTATCACAAGACCACGAGAATGAAAAGTGGCCTGGGGGAGGAAAATAAAAAGTTCAACAAGTTGCTATTCAGGTCACTACCAGGAACACCATTAAACAGCTCAGAACTAGAGACCCACAAATTACCCATGTGAGTAATGTGAGAACTGAGAAATTAAGTCTTTCTGATTTCTGGTCCTGTTGCCAATGATCTGATTGTTCCTTTCTTCCCAAACACCCCACATCACTGCATGAACAATTGTTTGCCCATAAACCTTGCCTCTCTTACTGAGTCCCAACCTTGCCACTGCTGAATAAAATCCAAAATACTCTCTGAGGCAACCCAGTTGTAACCTATAAGGTTGAGGAAGTGACACCAAATTTCATATCTTCAGTTTGCAAATGACACCTTAATTTTCCTGGAAGCTTCAGCTGATCAAGTAATCAATTTGAGGGTCATTCTCAAGTGCTTTGAAATTTTGGTAGCTCAGAAAATAAATGTAGATAAGAGTGTTAAGATAGGGATTGGAGATATCTCTCAAACATCATTGGAAGACTGCAGCTTCTTTGGGGTGTTTGGTGGGTGAGTTTCCATTTACTTATCAGGGTTTGCTTATTGTTGCAAAAACCTCTGTTTCATCTACTTGGCAGCCAATTTTTTATAGAAATGATAAAGTGCTTCCAATGTACAACCTTTCATTGCTTAAGATTCCTATCGGTGGAAGAGACAGACAATAGAGAAAATGCAAAGCGATTTATTACGGAGTATAAAGGGATTGGAGAAGAAAATTCATTTAGTCAAATGGAACTGGCTGTGTAGAGATAACAGATAAGAAAGATGGTGGTCTTAGGATAAGGTGAATAAGGCTATTTAATCAGGCATTATTAGGGAAGTGGCTTTGGAGGTTTGGGGAGGAATGGAACTCTTTATGGAGGAAGGTTACGGCATGCAAGTATGGTCACTATGGTGTACTGGAATTTGGGTGGGATTCAAACAAGGTTAAGTCTTCCTACGGGGTCTGTGTGGAAAGGAATCGTGAGCTTCCAATCAGCCTTCTTGAATTATCTCTTTCAAGTTGGGAGATGAGATGGATATAAGATTTTTGAGAGGATGACTGGTCGGGTATTGGCAAGTTTTGTGAATTGTGCTCAATACTTGGAAAGAGAGCAGGAATTGTGTCTTCTCAGTGCAATCTTTCTATAATGCTTTGGCAAGAAATCAGGTGGAGAAGTCAGGTGTTAAAGGGGTTTGGGGGAATCCTGTGCCTCCTAGAATGGAAGCCTTTGCATGACTGGTGAAAGACCATATTAAAGAAAGGGGAATTTAGATGGCAGGGAGATGTTATCTCAGTCTAGCTGAAGAGAAGAATGTGATGCACATTTTTGTTGGGTGTTTTTTTCAATGTCCAGGGGAATTACTTTATCCTGTTCAGCCTTGATATGTGGAGCTGCATTCCTTTAGCTATTTTCTGCGAGATTTGGAAGGAAAGAAGCAAATGAAATTTTGAAGGCCAGTCAAAACACAGGGATCAAGTCATCTGGGAGATTTGGGTCATGCTACTTCCAGAATTTGATGGTATCACAAAGGAATATTTTGAATGTAACATTTGGGCTTTATTGGATCTAGAATTCGGGGGATGAAAGTTATGAACATTTTTATCTTCTTTTTTTTTTTGGGGGGGGGGGGGAGGGTGATCCCTCAACATCACTTGGTTATAATCTTATTTTGATTATTAAATTTTTTATTTATTATCAAAAAAATATCAGAATGTCCCTTATTTTGACAAATTTGATCATTAAACCATTGTTTTTCAATTTTACATAAACAAAAAAGACCAAGCTTCATTAACACATTTTCATGCATTTTCTAACTTTACATTTTATTGCAGGTAACATTACATTTTATAGCAGGGATTATTAATTCTGAAGTTTGTTATCCTTGTTCTTCCTTTAATTCATTTTTCCTTGTCACTTAGGAAATGGAAAATGTTCATCAGGATTAAGACTCATTCATGAGGCTCACATCATGAAGGTTTCGGTAACTTACATCACATCACACATAAAGTTATATAAGTCACAAGTAATATATACCCATAGATTGTTGACCCTTAAAGACCCCAGCAATCCATTTAGATGCACACATGTGTGCACAGACACACAAAATAACCTCATATTAGGTACATCAAGTTTTCTTTTGCTAATACAAGTTCTGATAAGAAGATGCAATCAAGAAAGAACTAAAGCAGCAAAGGTCAAACCAATAAACAAGGAGGTCATACCACAAAAGTTCACCACCATTATCACAAATTGCACAAACAGAATCAAAAAGATCACCCTCAGATTCTTCTTCATCATCAACAATAAATGGATTTTTTGTGTCTGAAGGAACCAAGAAATCCTGCTGAACAAATTCTTCAGTTGTAGGATTCAATAGATTGAAGGAATTAAGAGAAAAAAAAAAACAGAAACAATAAAAGAAAATAATCGAGTGTAGTGACAGTAATAACCTCATTGAATGCTGTCTTCTTCCTGGGCTTCTCCTCAAGAAATCCAAGTAGAAACTGTCAACGATAGAATCATCACAACAATGAAACATGTGCAAGATGGAATGGAATACTTTTGGATTAAAAAATCAAATTAAATCATTTTTATCAGTAAACATGTATTTTATTAAATTTCAGATTGTAAACAGTTCATACAACTTGGTGATGGGACTGTTGATCCCTTTAATCACTCTATTCTATCCCTCATTACAATGCAGCCCAAAATAGTTGCTGTCTCAATGCCCCCTGTTTTGCTAAGACATCAGCTAGCCCATTTGCACTTCTTCGGACCCATTTAAATTCAGCCTCAACCTCCTTTGCAATCTTTTCCACTAAAATCAAATTAAATGATAGACCCCTGACCTCCCAATCCAAACGAGGAAAACAATAAGCAAGGGATCACATAGGAAAAGAATAAACCACAATGCCAACAACAGTAACTTGTGGAAATAAATATAGTTAAGGCCAAAATTAGCAGCCCATCAATTGCCAAAACATGACAAAGAAAGCAATTGTTAACAACAAAACAAAATGCAAATGTATAAAAAATAGACATAACAAGCTGGGCCTTTTGTAATAAAATAAAATTAATTAAGAAAGCAAAATAAAAAAGAAAAAAGAAAGGTGACCAGAAGTCACCTGAGAGAAAACACGGAAGAACCTTATTATACTAGACCACAAAACCCACAAAAATCAGAGCAAAAGAACCCCTGACTACAGCAAAGATATCAAAAGCAAGCAAACCCAAACTCCCATAGCATCTCAATTTAAATGTGAAATTATTTCCACCAATCACTAGAGAATCCCTTAAAACCCCCCTGAGAACTTGAAAACCCTCAGATCCAAAATTACAATAAGAAATCTCAAAACTATTTACCAGCTTCCCCAACTGCTTCAGTCAACATATATTTTCTTGTTCAAATATCTCGATCAGTGATATCAATAAAGGTGTGTACTTCATGTTCTCTTCCCCTTGTTCCATGCCTATTTCCTTAGGCCCTTTCATGAGATGGGAAGGAGAGAGGACTTTAAATTTTGATAGAAGTGCTTCAGCCAGTCCCAATGTAGCTAGTATTGGAGGAGTTTTAAGAGATGGCAGGGGAAGTATTTATTGGGCCTATAGTGGGCTAATTGGAATTGCTAACTCTACCAAGGCTAAAGTGTTGGCTACTCTTACAGATATTTGAATAGTTAGAATTTAGTGTTGGCTACTCTACCAAGGCTAAAATGTTAACTTGCTCAGGATTCCGAGGGATCTAAACTCAGTAGCAGATGGATTGGCAAATGTTGGGGCTCTTTTAGGTATTTTATATAGTAATAGGCTGCTACCTTTGTAGTCCGCTAGAGTTTCCCCTAGTCCTCCTGTACATCTTCTCCTCTTTTGTTTTTCTAACAAATTTCAGTTACTTACTCTCGTAAAGAAAATATCTCCAGTCTCAGTCTCTTGCATACTTGCACTGCCAAATTCGTTGCTTCAACCCTAGATCATCATTCCTTACCTGGGTTGTGGTCTCCAACTCTTCATTACCCCCAAACATCATCTCTGGATTCTCACACTTGTTTCAGCAATTCCAAATCCAGTTTCTTTACCCTTCTCTGTCAAATCAATGATCATCTTCTTTGCCTCTCCATTGTGAGCACTGTGAACATACTTGGTAACAACCCAGATGTAAGCATCATCCTGGCTCTCACTCTATAACCTGTTAATACAACCAAAAAGTATCAAAGAAGACAACAATGGACAGTAAGTCCCGTCCGCCATCTACCCCAAACCAGAGGCCACTGCCTATTTACCTTTCCAACTGACCTCAACCCTTCCTGCCTAATAATTTTGGTTGATCGAACACCTAGACACAGCAACCAGGCCCAAAATTAACTAATTGATTATTAAAATTGGAATGAGGCAAAAACCCTCTTGGCCCACTAGCTGGCCAAACAAAAGTATCACCATGCATGTTATGACTCACCATAACACGTCTGGGCCTTAGTCAAGAGGATCTCACAACCAACCTTGGCTTGAACCAACACCATGCATCTTTTCAACATCCTTAAGCACATGCCACAACATGGACCATTAAAAGACTGAACAGGCATCTCAATCACAAGCACCTGTGCGAAAGATTTCCCATCCACTGACTGAGAAGAACCATGAGGTCTTCCATTTTTAGTAAAATGGTGTGCTTCAATACATTCTCCAAGAATTGCTCTAATCTTTGCAAGATCATGCAATCTTAAGGCAGCCAATTCTAACTCTTCAGATTCCTTCCTGCAATCATCGTTCCACATGGAAGCTTCAATGGAGGTTGCTAGAATCATTCAAGCACAACTCCACCTTTTTTGAGGTTGCATTCAGGTCTTACTCCTATCCTCATTGTAACCAAATGGAGATCACCCAGAAACACTTCTTCCAGCCAACCCCCACAAACAGAGGCTAATGATTGAAGTATTTCTTTCAGACACAAGTGAAATGGCAACCCCAGCACCATTACAATCACTCCATCACCTGAGCATATTTCCTTAGCATTTAAGAACAAGCACCATTTTGAAATCATCAATTGACCATCATGAGTACTCCTGTCTCCTCAGTAACATCTAATACTGTTGTACTCCTGTCAAAGGGGTGATTATAATCAGCATTGAAAATTAAAATGTCTACAAATATCCTCTCCCAGTCTTGTCCAATCTCTCACTTCTTGCTTAGCAAAGATGACGAATCTGTCCTCCCATTTTTCCTTGATCTATCAATCACCAGTTTATGCACACCATTTCCAGTCGCTAAGATAATCTGCTCCCAATCAGTCAGCAGGCCACTTTGACTGAAAGGTCTTCTTTGTGTTGAGTCACGAAACATACCCTGTTTTCATTTTCCTTGCTTTGCAGAAACTCCTGAAGAGTTTTTGAGACCTCTCCCCAACCTGAACTTCTCTTACCTTCAGGGAAACACAGTAGTTGTTTACCACCCCCCCCCCCCCAAAAAAAAAACCTCATACAAAACTAAATACCTTGCTTTTTGGTTCTCCTTTCTCTAAGCCCAATATCTTTCAAACTCTTCCGATCAAGACTTCACCTTGCTGCAAAAGCACCGCCAACCCAGTTTTTGAAACATCCAATCACTTCCCCTCCCAATATTACAACAGCCCTCTTCACCTCTGTAATCTTCAAAGTACTTGAACCCTTTAGTTTTGTCATCTCAAAGACAAAAGTTTTAGCTTCTATCTTAAGATCTTCTCCAATCTTCAGACATCCTTCCTCCAATCTTCCCAAAATTTTTGGCACATCTTCAGTTTATGTGGTGGTTTGTATTTTTAGGAGTTGTTCTTCAATGTGAATTGTTTTCCTTGTTGTGAGTACCAGAAACAAATTAAAACGATTGGTTTGAAAACAAATTGTTACTTAAAACAAAAAAAAAAACATGGAAAACATGTTCTTGGTTCTAATATGTTTTTTTTTTTTCATTTCTAAAACTGAAACCAAAAACGTGTTCCCAAATTTCCAGTTTGACAAACATGATTTTGTTTTATATCATTCAATATATCCCATCATCTTTCATGACCCAAAAGCCTTCTCTGGATCAGCAAGACGAAAGAATTTGGAAATGGTCCAAAGAGGATTAATTTTCTCTCAAATCCCTCTATGATAACATAGCAGACTCTTCCCCTCCGGTTTTTCCTTGGTAGGAGGTTTGGCTCTCAATACAAAAACACAGTTCAAAAACATTTTTTTTGTTTTCTTGCTGATGTGGCAATATCAAAAACCACTGAAAACAGAAGCATTCATATTGTAGAACACCTCTTTAATTGTCAATGAGTTATGCAATTTAATCACCTCTTTTGTTGGATGTTATGCTCCCTCCATGCATTGTATGTGTGCTCTGATTCCTTACTTTGGACTTTTCCCCTATTTTTCTGGTTTTTCCTGCCTAATGGAACCCATTTTTTCCTTTTTAAACAGCCTATGAATGTGTCAATAAGTTGCAGAACTTATTACATGATTTTTCATAGGATATTGATTAAATAATTTTTCTAATAATAATGATTTTCTTCATTTTTTGAGCAGTAACAATTATAAAATTAAAAGTACATATTGTATTAGTATCAAATCGTTCAAAGGTAGGTAGACAAACCCAAGTCATGCATCACACAAGGGTGAGCCATATGGCCTGAAAAGAGAGTCCTCTACAAAAAAAGTGTATCAAAAAGAGTGGAAAGCATGCAGAAAGAAAAGTGTAGAAACATGTAGTAGAGAATTCTTGCATTTATTTTATTTCTTGGAGGGCAATAGTGTAATTTCTTCTTTTTTGAGTTAGGTTTATATTGTTTGAGGGCCAGCCAAGGTTAACACACCCAATTCAGTCTTTCAATCTCTAGTACTAGCACTCTTTTTTTTTGATAATTTACTAGCACTCATATTTCGTTTACATATATTTCAAGTTGGTGTCAAAGAAGGAGACCCTAGGGTTCTGCTGTCTTTATTGACCCAGTTTCAATCCATACAGGTAATGAGGGGATGATATGAAGACAGGTCGTGGAAGCCCTACTTTTAATCAAGTGTGATTTTTGGGACATTTCTATAATGACCAGAACGCCATGTAATGAGAATTGATATTTTTCTTACAAAAATCATAAAAAAAAGGTATGTGGTTTTTGCTGATGAACAAACTTGATTTCAGAAATTTTTATGGAATATTGAGTTTTCTAGAAATTTGTTTCTACTTCTGTTCTGCCACCATTTCCAGAAAGTAGTGTTTATGGTCTAAAGTTTTGCTCTGTTTTAATTATGGCACGGTCTCCTTGATCTGCATATCGCCAAGGAAATTGACACACATGTGTCACCTTTTTACTAAACACAAAGACAAACAATGGTAGTGCCTCTACATCCTTCGTTCATTCAGGTAACCTTAGTACCTTTATTAATGCTTATAATGTCTCTCAGGTCATTGATTCAGGTAACCTAGGTAGCCCTCTCTTTTCACCTTACCGCTCTCTATTGGGAAAGAATAATGTCAGAATTGCATAATGGATCCCTTTCTTTGACCTTTCGAAAGGGAGATGCTCAACTAGATTCTAATCTTATGCTACCATTTGTTCTTCATATTCCTCGATTATCAACTACTTTACTGTCCATTAGCCATATTACCAAACATTCTAATTGTAAAGTAACATTTATTGTTTCCTGATCATTGTGTGCTCTAATATCTGAAAACAGGGAGAATGATTAGACATGAACTTGAAGTCGATGGCCTCTATATGCTAGACTCTTCATTTGAGTTATCTGCCTTACGGTCTTTGTGGCATTCTAAACAAATCCAGATCTTTTACCCACACACTAGATTGATCTGGAAACAGGGAGATTGATTGGACATGAACTTGAAGTCAATGGCCTCTAATACTAGACTCTTCATTTTTAAGGTTAATTGCTTTAGTTTTGGCATTTTTCATGTGCATTTTCTTTATTATTTTGAAATTTCAGTTATATTTAGGGTTGACCCAAATTGGCCAATGGGTCAACCCTAACACAAACATTTAGGTTAGAGTATAGCATTTGCTGACCCAACCCGAAATCAACCCAAAAGTGTCTTGACACGACCCGCCTACCCAATTGCCAGGTCTACTATTATCCAAAGAAAAGGGGTTAGAAAATGTACTTTACACCCTATCTCCTAATTTGTTTCATACTCTAATTCATCTCCATCTTATAAGACCTTTGTTATAGCCATCTCTTTCATTCCTTTTTCCTATAAATGTTTCTAAAGCCTTGTATAAACCAAAGTTGAAAAGCAACTATAAATAGTGAGATGGAGGCATTCATTAAAATTAAACTTGGGATTTGTTGGATCTACCAAAGTAGGGGTGCAGATCGGGTTGGCCGGAATTAACAGTTTACACTGTTTAGGGCTCGGGCTTCGGGTTGGGTCCATTGAAATTTTGACAAAATCCCAACCCTAACCCGCAAAAGTTGCACCCTTAACCAAAAGGAAAGGAACTAGTGGGGTGTAGATAGGCCTTCATTGTAAAGCTCAATAAAGAGAAACAAATAGAGACTGGTAGCAAAGGGATATACCCAAACCTATGAGATTGATTATACTAAAACTTTCCCCCCGTCACAAAGACAAACTCTATTAGAATTTTGTTAACTATTGTAATTAATCGATCTTAACCTTTGTATCAACCTGATGTGAAGAATGCTTCTTACATATTTATCAAAAAAAAAAAAAAAGATTCCTACATGGTGATCTACAGGAAGAAGTCTATATGCTTTTACCTCCAAGTGTTGAATTACTCGGTTAGCCAGTTAAGGAAGTCTATCTATGAGCTAGAAGCCTAAAAGAATTCCTAGAGCTTGTAGGGGACCAATTCAGCAAAGCACCTATAAGATTTGTAAACACACAAAGCCATGCAGATCATACTCTATTTGTCAAGCGGGAGTTTCAACACAAATCATGTATGTTGGTGGTGTTGTAGTGACAAGTAATATTCATGAGGAAATTCATCAGCTCAAGACTTTTGTAGCTAGATAAAAAGATCTGGCTACCATAAGTGTTTTCCTAGTATAGAGGTTGCATAGTCTAAGAAAGGTATGTTCTTTTCATAGGGGTAATCATCATCTCAATGGCACAAATGAAGGAACTGTAGAAAGATGAAGGGATGTATTAAAGGTTAGTGGATCGATTGTAATATTCACCGCTAAGAAGACCAAACAATGTTATACAATTAGGAATGATAAGTCAACATATGCATGTTTCCCCATTTAGAAGCTATTGAATATTCTTAAATATTTGAATGGCACAAGATTACTATTTTCTAATCATGGACATCTAGGGCTAGAAGCATACGTTGTTGTTAATTGGACTAGTTACTTAGATGACTAGAACTATAATTCAAGCTACTGCACTTTTTTAGGAGGAACTCTTGTGACATGGAGTAAAAAAGCAGAATGTGGTGACAAGACTAAGTGTTTAAGCTAAATTTAGGTCTATGGTCAATGGTATTTCAAAACTACATTGACTGAGATTATTGGTGAAAGAGCATGACTTTGCTCTAGTCACAGGTGGAGCTTGCCTACTCAAATGAGAAGTCTCTTTGAACCAATGACCTTCAGTTGGCCAAAGACAAGGGGTAAAATTTTGTGGAGATGTATTAGGGCTGGCATTGATTTGGACGGTGTGGGAGGAAAGGAATGGCAGTGTTCAATGATAAAGAAAGAAATAAGGAAGCAGTTCTGGATTGCATTTTATATAGAGCTTTAATGTGGGCCAAGTCCCTAAAGTTATTCTCTGAATTCTCCTTTGATGATATGTGGAGAAATTTGGAAGTTGTAGCTTGAAGTTCTGCTATAAGGGTTAAACCTGTTGTAGGCTGGAAACCACCAGATGAAGGATTCATCAAACTGAATTTTGATGGCAGCAGCCTAGGGAACCCAGGCCCAGCTGGTATAGGGGGAGTCTTTAGAAACTATGAAGCTCATGTTGTTGCTGTGTTTTCAGGTCCAGTTGGAGTAGGGGACTCGGTTTTTGCATAGTTCCAAGCTGGCTTGCAGGGAGTACAGATTACTAAAGACTTAAACTATGATAGACTGTTAGTTGAAGGGGACTCTAAACTGGTAATAGGGTGGTTGAAGGAACCTGAAACTGTAATTTGGAAATATAAAGAATATATGAAAAGATTTAAGTGGCTGGTCAGAGATATGACAATTTCAGTCCAATGGGAAAGGCGGTCAGCTAACGGGATAGCTGATTTTGTTGCAAAACAGGGGGTGCATAAGTCTGAACTATTCTGGGCTCAGTTGTAATCAGTTTATATGGCTGGGGCTGCATCTCATGCCTCCGCTGGATGTACTTTGTAATCATGTGATACTTGATTATACTCTAATAAAATTTGTATCATTTATCAAAAAAAAAAAAAAAAATAGACTGCTCCTAGTCATCCTACAAGACTTTATTATGATAACAAGGCTGCTAGTAGCATTGCTCACAATCTATTCTAGCATGACTGCACTAAACATGTGGAGGTTGACTGGCATTGTATTATAAAGACAATTGACTTAAAAAGAAATATGCCTTCCATATGTCAAGACCAAGGAACAATTGACTGATAATCTTAACTAAGGGAATAACTAAAAAAAGATGGGTTGTGTTTTTCGCAAGTTAAGCATGATTGATATCTATACTCCACTTGAAGAAGAGTGTAGAAATATATAGTTCTTGTATTTATGTAATTTCTTGAAGGGCGGTCCTGTAATTTCCTCTTTATTTAAGTATATATTGTTTCAGGGCAGTAATGCTTCTTCTTCTTCTAGCACTCTATTCTTCTACATCTATTTCAAGTAAAGAAAATTTTGAAAAAAATAAGGATTATCCCTTGGAAAGAGGGATTCAATCCTATGCTGATATTATCTCTCTAACATGATCCAGATTCCAGAAACCTCCAAGATCCCTTAGCATGGTGCTTCATCCATCTAACCACAATCTATATCATCATTAATGATCATTTACATTAGAGCACTGGACAAAACTCAATACAATTGACTGCTCATATGGTGTGTACAATGTATACCAGTATACCACCCAAAATCTGATTAGATGGGATGTGACAACCGTCAACAACCTTTTGATGATCACGTCAGTCATATCACCTTGAGTTGTTCAATACCTGTATTAGCTCATAACTCTATACTTATCAACTCAATCATTTCCTACAATGGCATCTGCTTTGTTGTACTAAACTTCAGCATTCCTTTCTTCCTAATTAAACGAAAAAAGTACATATAAGAGCTTAACATGAGTTGCCACAAACAATGAGGGAACAGTGATAGCATCTCCAAAGGAGGATTTGCATACAGTGATAGCATCTACAAACACTGAGGGAACAGTGATAGCCCTGATAAAGTGAAATCTGAATAACACATAAAGCAAAGACATATCTTCAATTTTTTAATAACATGTTTTCAAATTTCAGCAACAAAACTAGACTCAGCTCAAAACAAAGCTAAAATGGATAATAGAAAATGATTAATAGACTCTCTGTGGGCAAAGACCAATTAATAGATTGCATACTTAAGGGTACATGCATCAGGAGTCTCTCTTTCTGGAATCTGGAGCAAACAAAAGCGTTTATTTTCTTTTTTTATTGAAAACATTTATTTTCTTCTGAAACACTCCTGGGAAAATTTTGGATCTTGACAATCAAGACATTCGGATCAACATTGTTAAGGATGGGGATCAATACCTTCGTGGTGTCAAAGCACAAGAAAGGGAAACATGTTGAACTTGGGAAAAACAGTAAAGTCAATAATCTATGCTCTACCATCATTCTCAATTTTAGAGATTAACACCTCTAAAGCATTAAAAAAGGCATGCCACAAAGAGCAACGGCAAAGTGCAAAAACTGTTAACATTATCTGCCCCTTTTGCACTTCTATGCTTATATATGGTTTTTTTTATGGATTTTTATTGGTAACAAAACTTTGATTCTTTTAGAAAATAAAAGGCACTTTTTTCAGGGACTCAGCAAATGAAAGCTATTACCTATAAAACAGATGAAAAAGAAGATAAGAAATGCAATCATTGAAAAGTGCCAGAGATCAGAAGATGAAAAAGAAGATAAGAATATTCCAGTCAACAATGTGCAACCAAACTACTCAGAGATCAGAAGCCGGAGTAATTATTTACAGGAGGAGTAATTGTATGAACTATTATAACAAACCAAACGATAATTTAATGTGTAGAAGTAAATACAAATATATGAATATAACTATAAGAAGGTAAAACAAACCTTGGACTTCGCTAGCACTTCATCTCTTTGGCTAGCTACACTTATTAAAGGCACTTGATCCAAGAGATCATTCTCAGAAGGTCTAAGATCATATGAGCTGCATTGAACAAGAATCACTATGATTCATGTAACCAACCAGAAATAATGACAACGTACCAAAATGATAATAGTAGCACACGAACATGAAAACTTTACACAAGTGTTCCCAGACAGATTTTCCTGATGCCTCCGGATTTTTCCTCACATAGTGAAGGCAATGAACAGTGATCATGGTTGTCCTGATTGTGTCCTCAAAGCTCTTCCTTGGCTTTTGAAGCTTTATCCAATTACGTTCCTTGGTGAGCACAGAAATCTCAGGTTGCCCATGCGATAGATCAAACTTCCATGCTGTGACTTGCTTATAGATTTTCTGGAGTCCATCCGCAGTTCCATGCAAGAATATATGTTGTTTGATATCATCCGCACTCTCATCCTTGTCCCATTGAATAGGCAAAACCGAAAATGATATGGGCTCATCCTTGGCATCCACAAAATGGTAATTGGCAACCGACTGTGGAACAACTTCATCCTCATCATCCGAAGATGCCATCGTCTATCTAATAGAGGGAATTGATTATTCTTCCCCCCTCCAACTTCTTTTTCTTCTAGGTATATCCTCAATTAATGACCTAAGAAAATACATCAAGATTACATTCAACCAAGATTATATCCATGCTACTCTTTTACAACACACCGGTAACAAACTACACATCACATAATATGAATGTCACCCTACTTTTACCCATGATTCTCAAATGCCCTAAATAAAATTAAATATGCATAAGAAGATAAGCATCAGCTAAGAAATGGGGAAAATTGTACAAGGCTCGTGTGGAAATAGTTAAAACGAAAGAACAGACTCGGAAGACATTAATTCAGAGTCTAGGGATACCAAGAAGTGCCATCTCGTAAATTGAAACGTTCATATAAAAGTCGGTATAGAATTGTCGTTTAAGGGTAGATAATAGCAAATGAGAGAAATTAAACCTATCCAGCCAAATAGTTGCAGATATTCACCAAAGAACAACCGACTGAATCTTCAACGGAGGAAATAAAAGAAGCTTACCTTCTAAGCGAGCGTTCGAGGATTCTACCTTCCGAGATTCTTCAAATATTAAAAGCAGCGGCAGAGATACCGTGATTTCGGTTTTCCAGTTTTCCTGGGAGGGAAGATATGAAGGGTTTTACTTTTACCCGTAAAAAAAAAAAAAAAAAGAAAGAGCCCAACGCTCTCGAAGCAATGAGAGAAAAATCGGGAAAGTGAGTAAAAGTGATGAGTTCAGTGACGCGGTTGGCGGCAAATGAGATATACGTGATCAATTAATAACCATCAGATTTTTTTTATAGAAATAACCATCAGATTGTAGTGAGTAGACCTGTTCATGGGCCGGGTGGCCCAACGGGCCGGCCCGGCCCGGCCCCCAGACGAGCTTGAACGGGTATATGGGCCCACAGGCTTAACCTCAGGCCAAAAAGCCCGGCCCGCAATAAATTCGAGTCGGGCTCGGGATTTGCCAAAATAGCCTAGCCCGCCTATAATTAAACCTAAAAACCCTAGTCGAATACCCCTCTTTTTTTCACCTCTTTCCCTTATTTTTCCAGTCGAACCCTTCTTCTCTACATCCTTTTTTCCTTCTTTATATTCTTTTTTAATGTAAATAAATTTTGAATTTATATTCTTTTTTTAATGTAAATAAATTCTAATTTATATTGATTATTGAATAGGGAAAATTCTAATTTTTTTTATTAGGTCGAGCTTCGGGCTTTTTATCAGGGCCGAGCTCGGGCCCAAGTTGTAGGCCCGTTGGTCGGGCCGGGTTCGAGCTCGGGCCTAACATATTTCCATTAATGAAGAGTAAAAGCCCGGCCCAAGCCCAGCCCATGAACAGGTCTAATAGTGAGTGGTCGATTATTCCCAAATCTTTGTCAATTAGCGACCTAACAAGTCGTAGCCTGTGGCTGTCGAGACCGGATCTATTCCTCACTGAGGGTGTCTCACACGTACATTCTACCATGCATTGGGAACATCTTCCATACTTTTAGGTTTTAAGTTATTATTTACAGGAGATGTTCTCAATGCACGGTGGATGTGCATGTGAGGCGCCCAAGTGTGAGGAGCAGATCCCGTTCCGTGCAAGCCCACAAAATGGGCGCCTCAAGCACATCCACCGTGAATAAGAACTAATAAGTATGGGAGATGTTTCCAATGCATGATAGGATGTGCGTGTGAGGAGAAAATCTGGTCTCATCTATAGGGTGCAAGTACAACCGTGCAAGTCGATTTGGGGTCAACCCTAACAACCCAATCCAAGCTTCGAACTCCCAACCCTAATACTAACCTATCCAAATTAGTTGACACGGAGAGGGCTATATTCAAATTGGGATAAGCTTGGCCCTAGTGGTGCTCACGGTTCGGGGGGCTAATTTTTTAAACCAAATCAAGGTTATCGAATTTTGGAAAACCGGTAACCAAAGCCGATTGGTTGATCGGTTCGGTTCATCGGTTTTTTAGTTTTTTATTATTTATTAAAGAAAATATATAAATATATAATAAAATGTATAATATTATATTTTAAATAATAAATAATATATTACATATTATAAATATATATATATATATATGTTTATATATAATACATATTTATTAATTTATAATGAATAGAAAATATGGTTATAATATATATAAATATATGTATACCGATCGGTTCGATTAACCATCGGTTTTATGTTTTGGTTAACCAAAACCAAACTAGTACCTTCGATTTTTCTAAAATATTGAATCGATCGATTTGGTTAACCGAGTTTTTTGTTCGGTTTCAGTCAGCTCTTTCAATTGATTCTTTTTTTTTTCTTTTGCTCACCCCTACTTGGCCCAACTTCTCCAATTTATTTACATACTATAGTACTACACTAGTGGGGCATGTGCGATCAATGACAAAACGCAATGCAATTTTGACAAATTATTCTAATTTATTTGGGTTTATATTATTTGAGAATTTCAAGTAATTATCATCCTAAGTCTACTAATTTACAATAATTTATTTTTAGGTATAATAATTATAAAAAAAAACTTAAAATAGCAATATTTTTAACAAACAATATTTTTAGGTATAATATAAACCAAAGCAATTCATTAAGCAAAATTCAAATAATACTTTTAACTATCATAATCTAACAGTCTTCAAAGCACAAAACCCAAAAATTTAAAACAAAGAAATTCAATAAGCAAAAAGTCAAACATCATTTTTGCTGATTTTTATTAACATTATCTATTAAACATCTAGTTATTAACACCATTTATCAATAATAATTAGTAATTATAATATTTTATTAAATAATCAATAATGATAGTTTTGATAATATTATTTAATAAAACAGTAATTATTAAATTTATAAATAGGATTTATTAACAATATTTATTAAATTAATAATTATCAAAATTAAATTATATTAGCAGTATTTATTAGCAACAATCAATAATTATTATATTTTATTAAATAATCAATAGCAATACTTCTAATAACATTATTAAAGTATTTTTAATATAACAATAATTGTTATTAATTATAGTCGCTAATTATATATTTATTAAATAACAGTAATAACCAGTAATTATTAAAATTGGGTTAAAATAAATAGATAACAGTATTTATCTAAAGTGGATTTATAAAATAAAATCGGCTCTAGAATTTATAATCAGTAACTAAATTGATATGATAGCTAATTAGCGGGGTTGTAATCAGATTATAGATCCAAATACGTATGCAACTAATCTAATTATAATTAAATTCAAATCCAATCTAAACATGATTATAGTTGCAAACAGATCGGTTCGAATTGGATGTAGGCATATCCAAATTTGATTTGTTAACATTTTAATCCAAATCAAATCATATCCATCGAATATCTAGCAAATTCAAATCGAATTTGAATTATAATCAGATGTTAGATAGTACAAATAAATTGTACTAAAAATGACCAAAATATTATATATTATTAATAATATGAGCTAACCATGACTTTAATAATATATTTTATGAACAAAATGAATTTAAAGTTACTTGAATACATGACAATTGAGTGAAACATATAACATTAAAACCAACTTCAATGAAAGATATAATATAATTTTTAAGTATATATATTTAAATCGAATCGAATTGGATCATATCAAATCGAATAGGGGTAGATTCACATTTGATCCAATGGGTCGACTTTGGATCAAGCTTAATAGGATAGGATTCGAATTTAGAATTGGATACCGTTTGCAGCCCTAAACGTGATATGTAAAACTCAAATCATATTTGAAAAAATGAGCCGATTTAAACTAAACAAAACCGATTATAGCAATCACCTTCTTGCCCCCAACCCGGTGACCCAAATTCGGCCACCTTATTGACCCGAGTTGTTGTAACATTGTTCACTCCACAGGGCGATGACAACAACTCATCAAGGACTATTGATTTCGCTCTGATTTTTATCTAATGACTTAATTTTCTCTTTTGAAAGGCATTAAACTCCTTTTTATTCATAAAGGAATGGTTAACATTAAAACAAATTAAACTTAAACATTAAAATTAATCAAAACTAACAACATACATGCATTAGTGATTAGGGACCATACAAATCTCCAAAACCAGCAATGGGCGAAGCAAATGTCTTATCCCTCCAAAAGAGTGAAACCGATTCAATAACACCCTTCAAATAGGAGCTAAGCAATCACAATGCAATGCAATAACAAGTGTGCCCAAAGCAGGGGAAGAAATTGTTGTTAAGGCTATATGCCTGGAGGGATGAGAGATCCATCCTATGGACGCCCAAAGATTGCGGAATAAGGGGGCGAATTTCAAAAATTTTTCTCTCCCTTCAACTGGGAATCGCATTCCCTATTTAGAAAATCATATTTTCAATGATCATTCATGAACCTTAAACTGAATCAGATCTGAATCAAAAGGAGTAGGAGAGAATTATACCTGATATGGATAAGTAGTATCTCCCAACGAAGGTGTTCACGCCCAATGAAGGATCCAAAAACTGCTTCCACTGAAGATGGTGCAGTGCAGGATGGAGCAGAATCAGCAGTGTTCTTCTCCAAGAACTCTGTCATTCGCAAGAATCAGCAGGATGGTACGTGAGCACAACTTCCTTTCAATCATTTCTTAAAGAACTGATGTCAAGATCCAATCTTGACTTCTCCCACAACTGGAGATCGAACTGGCAAACAGGGCGACAATAACAGGAAGGCGACAAGAGAGTATTCGTAGGGTGCAGAATTCTCTCTTCTTGTTTTCAGCACTAAAGGAAATCTGATGTGCGTCTCTTATGCTGCCACCCCCTTCTTTTGTTAACCTAAAAGATCAGATCCTAATCCAATTAGGAGCAGCTTATCCAAATCATATTTGGATAAAACTTATCTTCAGGTGATAGCGATAAATCCTTATCTTATCTATAGATTAGATTAGCTTTCCCCTAATCTCATTAGGAGGTTTCTAGATCTGAATCATAATCAGATATTGACTCTCTGAGTGGATAGGATTAAGACCCTATCCTATCTGCTAATTCATCTCAAAATTCGCCCATTTAATTAACTAAATGAATAGCCCAGTTCGAAATGGGCTTTAGGCTCATTAAGCTTATGTGCTCACTAATCCTTCATAACTGTTGCCCAGTTGGGCTTCCTTGTATGGCGTGGGACCCAAGCATTGATTTATACATCAGCCACATGGGTTCGGCCCAGCCTTTGTTACAAG